CTCTAAAACCTGTGGTTTTATCCTATAGCACATGCCTCTATGAATGAAATCCTCTGGGCCTGGGTTACTTCTTCCATAAAAATGGGGCAATTGTACTAGGTCCTTATTGTCTCCAAAATTATGACTTTATCATAAGAACCTTGAGGATGTCTTTCTTTGCTTTTTGATCTGGCTTTAGGCTATGCCCATGTTACTCAGATTGAGCCATTGGACCAAATCTTGAGGCTCTTTGGAAATCTTCAGTTTCCTGTAAATAACAGACTGACTCTGGCTTTGTTAGAGAAATCATGGGGAACCTGAAGGTAAGTTGTGATGAGCAAACAGTTTTAGAAGCAAAGAAGGAAGAGTATGTCTAGGTGGTTGAAGCACTTACTGGTGAAGATCAGAGACTACGTACAGCCTTCAGTATGGATTGCACCTCAGCATAAAGAAAACAAAAATCCTCACAACTGGGCCAATAAGCAACATCATGATATATGGAGAAAAGATCGAAGTTGTCAAGAATTTAAATTTGCCTGGATCCACAATCAATGCCCATGGAAGCAGCGGTCAAGAAATAAAATGACATATTAGCACTGGACAAATATGCAAAAGACCTCTTCAAACTTTCACAGAACAAAAAATGTCACTTTGAAGACTTAGGTGTGCCTGATTCAAGCCATGATATTTTCAATCATCTCATATGCACGTGAGAGCTCAATAATGAATAAAGAAGACCACAGAAGAATTGAAGCATTTGAATTGTGGTGTTGGTGAAGAATACTGAATGTATCATGGACTGCCAGAAGAATGAGCAGATCTGTCTTGGAAGAAGAGCTGGAATGCTCCTTAGAAGTGAGAATGGCCAGACTTCATCTCTTGTACTTTGGTCATGTTGTCAGAAGAGACCAGTCCCTGGAGAAGGATATCATGTTTGGTAAAGTAGAAAAAAATAAACCCAAACTCACTGCCGTCGAGTCAGTCCCAACTCATAGTGACCCCTCCTTGGGTTTCCGAGGCAGTTTCACCACAGAAATAGATTGCCCAGTCTTCCTTCTGAGGAGTGGCTGGTGGATTTGAACTGCCAGTCTTCTGGTTAGCAGTCAGATGCCTTAGGCACTACGCCACCAGAGCTAAAATATCCACAGGAAACAAATTTTTAAAGTATACTTTAAAAAGTTCTATTTATATTCTGTACAACAACTAAGTAACTGTTTTACTGTTTCCAAGAACAACTCTCAAAATGTGAATATATGCAGGCCATAATGTAAAGAGAGGGTCAGCAAAAAAGGATGGGACTCTCAACGTGGATGGACACAGTGGCTGCGATGGTGGATGGAGGCACAGCAACAACAGGGGCTGTTGCAGGACTGCGCAGTGTTGGTTCTGTCGCACGGTGAGTGGGAACCGACTCAGCAGCACCTACCACCACCACGTGACTCGGAATAAAATGTGATCAGAAGCTGAAGCAATCTAAAATAGCCAAGATAATCAAATTTTTAGCCTCTTGCATTGCTCAAGTAAGCCTTCTTCTTTTCTTGTCTTTTTTAATGCCTCTCTGTTAAGCAGCTTATTTAGTTATATTGTTAAGACCAAAACTTCCAAAAGAAAAAGCACAACTTTGGATCTATAGCGCCGGATTATAAAATAATACGTAAATCGTTTGTGCTTTCCATGACTTTAGCAAAAAAATGTTTAAGCTTTTCAAGTTTATTTCTATTTTTGTAAAATCATACTGACAGCTCTGAGTTAGTGAGCTAGTAGGAAGAAAATGAAAAGTAATAATTTGGTAGCATATTCCTGCTTTTATTCTAGATAATATTAAAAAATAATAAGTTTAACCCTGAAGGCTACTGAGCCAGGATATTAAAGGGACCTTAGGTCCTTGGGTTTCTCTTCTGTACCTTTTATTCCTGCCACCACTTTGCTGTACCCTTGTATACCCCAGGCCTGCCTTCTACAGTGAAACAAACTGAAAGGACACAGTAAATTCACTCAATTAGTTTTCAAATTTCATGGCTCAGCAGTACTAACTGAGAAGGGTTTTGGATGAAACTGATATATTGCCTTTAAAATGTTGAAATTTTTAGGACAAAGGCTTTCAAGCACATCTTGGACTCCTCAGAGTTGGCAGTGTGGACTGGGAAGGGCATCGATGGGAACAGGATGGTTGAGCCTCTAGGCACCTCCAACCAGAAAGCTACTATTTCATCTGTTCTGTGCTGGAGCTTCTCATAGAGTTTTATCTGGAGGGGTCCTACTGCCTAACATAGTAAAGTTTGAAAACCACCGCTTTAAGGAAAGGTACTTTCAGAAAATAAATCCTTATCTTTTTCTTCTAGTTATTAGTATAGCCTAACTAGATTTAAGCTCTCTCAGATTCCAGGAGAATAACAGTCACAAGATAGCTTACTTCTTGCCTTTCAATAATTCTCTTCACTGTCCAACATATCGTAGCTGCTCATTTGCTATTGTTGTACTTCTTTAGCGCTTTGTTGGGTTTTGATTTCCAATGGCAAGTGGTGATCAGCTATGTTGAGATTGCGAAAAATAGTGGTGACTCCTATTTGTCTATTTGACAAGAGCTATTACTAGTTTAAAACATTCAGTTAAGAAATAATATTAAATTTCTTTATAACCTCTTAGAAATCAAAGGAGTTTTTAGAAAAAAGCATGAAATCTTTGAGAGTAGGATATTGGGATGACAAATACTGTTGTTGCAATTATGAAGCGGAGGCTTTTACTTTTGTACCGTAAAACCTACGAAAGCTGGAACCTATCAGAGAAGGAAAATACAGGCATTTTCTACTAATAGAGAGTGACAGAAAAGTGCTAGGATTGCACCCTGTCAAAGGCAGAAAACTTGTGAGACGCAGAAAAACAAGGCAGTCCTGTCAAGTTCCACCTCTCCCAGGTTTCACTGTAATGTGGGCGTCGGATGAGAGAACATTTAGCTTGACTTCCCATCTGCTTCTTGAACCAACAAGTGGAGGTGTACTCTGAATCTGAGTCATTCCAGTGAGCAGGAACTCAGCCTCCAAAGGCAGGCCATTCTCTTGGGATACCTCTGTTTCCTAACGCCATTTCTCCCCTTTGTGAGTCAGTATCTCTCATCCTAGAGGCCTTCTGGCTTTACTCTGTGATCTCAGTCATCATTTCTACATGGTTCTATTGAAGCCGGCTTTTCTTCTGCTCAATTCAGGACGACAAGGATGATGCTGGTCAATGAAAATAGCTCTAATTTTGGACGGAGAATAAACGAGACACTCGTTTAATTCATTTTCACTTGGTCTAAATGTCAGAAGTACACAAACTTTAACTGATTTATTGTGACATTTTATTTGAAATATTTTTGGGGAGAAAATGTATTAAAATGTATTTTATAAACATAATGAACTTTTTCTTGATGATTTAAGGTCATTGTGCATTTCAGCTATGTTCTCCATGTTGAGGTCCTCAGGACATATTGAGTTTTGTTGAACTGTTTTCCTATTTGTTTTAGTTCAATTTATTAAAAATTTAGTGAATACTTACTGTCAGCCTTCTTGTATGCAAAGAAGATATAAAAATGAATGAGAAGTCAGCCAAAATAGCTCAACTGGTAGGATGTTAGACTGAAGACCTAAAAGTCCCTGGTTTGATCTGGAGTTTGGGTAGCTTTGTTATATCCCAGTAAAGCTGATACCAAATGTATGTATAAAAGCTCTGGTGGTATTGTAGTTAAGGCATCGGGTGCTAACCAAAAGGTAGGCAATTCAAGCCCATTAGCTACTCCATGGGAGGAAGATGAGGCAGCCTACTTCATAAAGATTTACAACCTTGGAAACCCAACAAGGGGTTGCTATGAGTCAGAATCGGCTTGATAGCAGTGGGTTTATATATATATATATGTGTGTGTATATATATAAAATGCATGAGATACAACAGCTATAATAGGGAGATCGTGGGTCATGGATGTGGTATATGGATGGGGGAATAGAAATGTAACATTACTATAATATGGTAAGTGTTAGAATAGGAAATAGAGGGGAGATAGGGTCAGTTAAAGACAAAGGTGATCTATAGGGCCTGCAGAGAGTTCATCAGGTGCTCAAACAATGGAAGAATGCCCCAGCATAAGGAGTAGCCTGAGCATAGGTCTAACATGTTGAGTGTCCCTGGAACAGCAATCGCCTTTGGTGTGCCTCAGCCTAAGGAGATAGGAGTGAGGAGAGAGAGATGGCAGGAGAGTGGGGCTGGAGCCAGCTTGTGTGGGGAAATAGATGTGCCCTGAGGAATTTGGGCTTTACTCTTTCAGCTGGGGAACTCATCGTAAACTTAAAGTAAGGAGATGATATGATTAGACATGTCTTAGACATGTCTTACAAATTCTGGTAGCATTATGTGGAGAAGGATGAAGAATTAGTTTCTGGAATTTTGATTGTTCTAATCCTGGTATGCTATGTTTGCCTTACTTGGGCGTGTGTTTGGACTAGTGAGCTAGATCTATAGGAAGAGGACATAAATGATGGACTGAATGAGACAAAGTGTATGAAAAGTAAATTTGCTCTGTAAATTTTCACCCAAATCACAATTTAAAAAAAAAGAAAAGAAGAAAAAAAGGAAAAAAAAAGGACTGAATTTCTTATACACATAGTGCCCATTGTTTTGGAGTGTCTACGACTGCTTTCTGTAGTTTCTGAAGTTTCTCCCTTGAGAGCAGATTGTCATTTCACATTGGTCATAGGGATCGGTAACAGGGTACTTGCCAATAGCAGGCCCCTTCCTCCCTTCCCTTCCAATATATAGCTGCTAAAAGATCCAAATAAACAAGCCGGGGGCTGACCTATGAGGACAGTCCATGACCTTCAGTGAGTCAGCTTGAAGACATCTATTTTGAAGACTTTTTTTCCTGGTTCTTGTCTTTTTCTAGATCTATATAACTGAGCTATCTAGCAACTTCATATAAGTGAAGTGTAACTGTAATTTGTTGATAAGATCATACTCATTTAAAAACATTTTTAAAATTTATTTTGATGTAGGTGATTGGAGTTTGGCTTCAACAATTTCAGCAGTTCTGCAATATTTTATCTGCCAACAATAAGCTCTTTACTTGACTACACCATGAAAAAACTGCTAACAAGACTTGTTGAACACGAAAATGGACTTGAAGGACCAACAGCCATTGTTTTCAAATGAAGAATACTGGACAGTTTTAAGCCTCAATGCTTTGTAACCACCACTGAGCTCTCCCCCCTCCCCCCTTGCAACATCAGAATGGCAAGCAGGCGAAAATCAACAACACCCTGCATGGTCCTTGCCAGTGAGCAGGACCCAGACCTCGAGTTGGTATCAGATCTGGATGAAGGTCCTCCTGTTCTAACGCCCATAGAAAACACCAGAGCAGAGAGTCTCTCAGGTGACGAAGAAGCTCATGAGTCTGTGGATTCTGACAATCAGCAACACAAAAAGGTGGAAGGCGGCTATGAATGTAAATATTGTACTTTTCAAACTCCAGATCTCAATATGTTTACTTTTCATGTGGATTCTGAACATCCCAATGTTGTGCTAAATTCATCCTATGTTTGTGTCGAATGCAATTTTCTTACCAAAAGGTATGACGCACTTTCTGAGCATAATCTGAAGTATCACCCGGGGGAGGAGAATTTCAAGTTGACTATGGTGAAACGTAACAACCAGACAATCTTTGAGCAAACAATAAACGATCTGACTTTTGACGGTAGTTTTGTTAAAGAGGAGAATTCAGAGCAAGTGGAATCTACAGACGCTTCTTCTGCAGGAATATCTATCAGTAAAACTCCCATTATGAAAATGATCAAGAATAAAGTGGAAAACAAACGGATTACAGTTCATAACTCAGTTGAAGATGCTCCTGAAGAGAAAGAGAATGGAATCAAACCAGACCACGAAGAAACCGTAGAAAACCCAAGTTCTTCAGCCTCTGAATCTAATACCAGTACTTCCATTACAAACAGAATACATCCGAACACTGCCACCACAGTAGTGACTCCAGCAGCGGTTCTTCCTGGGCTAGCACAGGTGATAACTGCCATGTCAGCTCAGCAGAATTCGAACTTGATTCCCAAAGTCTTAATCCCTGTTAATAGTATCCCTACCTACAATACTGCATTGGATAACAACCCCCTTCTGCTTAACACCTACAACAAATTCCCTTATCCCACAGTGTCAGAAATTGCCATCCTTTCTGCTCAAGCAAAATACACAGAGGAGCAGATCAAGATATGGTTTTCAGCCCAACGCCTCAAACATGGTGTTAGTTGGACTCCGGAGGAGGTGGAGGAGGCAAGAAGAAAACAGTTCAATGGAACATTACATACTGTACCTCAGACCATAACCGTTATCCCTACACACATTTCCACAGCGAGTAATGGTTTACCATCCATTTTACAGACATGCCAAATAGTCGGTCAGCCAGGCCTGGTCCTTACACAGGTAGCTGGAACCAACACCTTGCCAGTCACAGCCCCTATAGCCTTGACAGTGGCAGGAGTTCCAAATCAGACAAACGTACAGAAAAGCCAGGTGCCCAGTGCTCAGCCAGTCACAGAAACGAAGCCAGCAGCTGGGGCGCCTGCGGCAGTTCCGGCAGCTCAGCTCGTCAAGCATGAAACCCCACTGGCAAACCCTGACTCATTTGGCATCCGGGCCAAAAAGACTAAAGAGCAGCTGGCAGAATTAAAAGTCAGCTACCTTAAAAATCAGTTTCCCCATGATTCCGAAATTATCAGACTTATGAAAATCACAGGCCTGACGAAAGGAGAGATTAAAAAATGGTTTAGTGACACCAGGTACAACCAGAGAAACTCAAAGAGTAATCAGTGCTTGCATGTCAACAGTGAGCCCTCCACCATTGTCATCGACTCCAGTGATGAAACCACGGAATCGCCCCCTGGCGTCACCTCGCAGCCCAAGCCATCCTGGACCCCTGTGCCTGACTTCAGCCCACAGAAGTTTAAAGAAAAGACCGTGGAGCAGCTTCGGGCCCTCCAGGCAAGTTTTCTCAACAGCTCCGTGCTTACAGAGGAAGAATTAAATAGGTTAAGAGCGCAAACCAAACTGACCAGAAGAGAAATTGATGTTTGGTTTACAGAGAAGAATAAATGCAGAGCTTTAAAGGAAGGGAAAACGGAAGTAGATGAAGGTAACGCAGGCAGTTCCAAAGAAGAAGGCGGGGAAACCTCTCCCAGAGACGAAGGTGCGGCCCCTAAACCAGCGAGCACAGGCAAGGTGTGCAAAAAGTCCCCCGAGCAGCTGCACATGCTGAAAAGCGCGTTCGTGCGCACGCAGTGGCCGTCACCGGAAGAGTACGACGAGCTGGCCAAGGAGAGCGGGCTCGCGAGGACGGACATCGTGAGCTGGTTTGGGGACACCCGTTACGCGTGGAAAAACGGCAACCTCAAGTGGTACTACTACTATCAGAGCGCCAACTCGAGCGGCCTCAACGGGCTGTCCCACCTCCGGAGGCGAGGCAGAGGGAGGCCCAAAGGCCGGGGCCGGGGCCGGCCGCGCGGGCGCCCTCGAGGGGGCAAAAGAATGAACAACTGGGACAGGGGCCTGTCGCTCATAAAGTTTAAAACCGGAACAGCCATCCTTAAGGATTACTACCTGAAGCACAAGTTTCTGAATGAACAAGACCTTGATGAACTCGTCAACAGATCACACATGGGCTACGAGCAGGTCAGAGAGTGGTTTGCAGAAAGGCAGCGCAGATCAGAGTTAGGGATAGAATTGTTTGAAGACAACGAGGAGGAGGATGAAATTATTGATGATCAGGAAGAGGACGAAGAAGAAACAGACGACAGTGACACTTGGGAGCCCCCACGGCACGTGAAGCGGAAGCTTTCTAAATCGGATGACTGAAACGTGAGTTTTCCTCTGAGTCTCTCTTGATGGTCATTTGCATTTAGAAGGGTCCCCTTGTATTAGTCACCTTCACCTTTGATAATTTTCTCTGAAATGGCGTTTCCTTGCCTATCAGAGACGAGGTGCCTCTAGGACAGCCGGCAGATTGGGGCTCCTCAAGTATCCACTGACTATTACCATTACTGTGAGCTCCTATGTAGAGTTGAATGTTGGTTTAATTGTTTTTCATCTGAAATGTGTTTTTCTCAGTTCTAAGGGAAAGTTTACCCATATTCTAAGAAGGGAGACTGGTGGGGGTGGGGCGGAACTCACAAACAAAAATTAGAGATTACGAAAATGTATTTCTTGCAACGCTCCCTTCACTAAAGCTTCATTTTTTGCCTATTTAAGGAAAGAATTCAAAAACGAAAACTAAAAAGAAGGGGAAAAGTGTACCGAAGGAAAGACTTACCACAGGGGTGAGGATTGTTCAGTTTTAGGAAACTAGGGGAAAATGGGTATCTTTTTTTTTTTCTTCATTGTATTTTTCAGGATTTTCTAAACCCTAAATGTTTGCTTGCCTGCTCCCCACAAGGTTACCAGATGTTCAACTAGAGTTTTAAATGTTTTATGTATTAAATTATTTGATTTTAATATTAAAAGCCAAAGGTCTATTCTAAGCCATATATAAATTCATGTTTGCTTGTGTGGCATCTGCTTTTGAAAAGTGTGATATAAATTATTGCTATCTTAGAGATCAAATACTGCAATTAAAAGGTAAATAACAGATTTGATATTAAATTAGTGCAGTTGCCTAATATGTCTTTTCATTCTTGGAAATAAAACAAACTGCTACCGGCAGAAAAACTACATCTGGTTAAAAATCTCTTTTTCTAGTCATAAAAATGGAAGTAAATACGCTTTAAATTTGAAAGGTCTTGGAACCCTCTTTAGATCTTAATTCTTTTACAGGTTGGTTTAATTTAAATCATACTGTAGTCAGATACCTGATTTGGAATTTGTTGTTGTTATGTGCCGTGGAGTCAGACCCCTCCTTGGGTTTCCGAGGCGACCCCTCCTTGGGTTTCCGAGGCGGTCTCTTTACGGAAGTTGATTGCCCAACCCTCCTTCCGAGGAGTGGCTGGTGGGTTTGAACTGCCAGCCTACTGGTTAGCAGTCAAATGCCTTCAATTTGGAATACTTCTGGAGTTCAGTGACACAGATCTTTTTCCTTCCGCTGTTTCCTGTGTTCCTAGATAAAAGTGTACTTTTTTGAAAACAGTGCAGTTGTCCTGAAATGTCCATGTGAGTGATCAGCAGTGCACAGGGCCTGTGCTCTTAGAAATCCCTGCAGTGCTCCCAGCAGCAGACCAAGGGACCCAGGCCCTCTGACTCTTGTTTACATGTAAACATCCCCCAATTCTCTGCTTGTTTGCTCTTTTATTTTATGCACTTTCCTTGACTCCCTCGTGTCTCCATCCCTGATTTTATTTATTTCTTCTGGTAGCATAGTGCCTAAGGCACTTGACTGCTAACCAGAAGGCTGGCGGCTCAAACCCACCAGCCGCTCCTTCGGAAGGAAGATTGGGGTCGCTGTGAGTCGGATCCGATTCCACGGCAGTGAATTTTTTTTTTTTTTTTTAATTTAACCAATATTTACAGAGAGCTTAATGTGTGCCAGACACTGATGTTAGTGCACAGCAATCCTTCCCCAGGTATTAGTTTTTGTTCTTAATTAACATTTTTTTTTTTTTTTCCTGGCAGAAAACTAAAACCGTAGCTATTTTAATAAGCCACTCCTCGGAAGAAATGTTGGGCAATCTACTTCCGTAGTGATACCGCCTGGGAAACCCAAGGAGGGGTCGCTATGAGTCGGGTCTGACTCCATGGCACATAACAACAACAACAACAACAAAGAATTTAATAAGCAGCATGGATCTCATTCCAGGGTATAGATCCCACTGTAATCACTGTAAGTCACAAGAAGTTCACCATGTTGTGCTGCTTAATCCCAAAGGGAAGTCCTGTTCCTAATGTCAGGAATCTTCAGGACAACTTTCTTCCGACCTAGATGCAGAAAATATTTTTAACAGGGTTTTTTTTGTTTTGTTTTGTTTTGTTTTTTAATTGTGAAACACAAGAATGTGTGCTCGGCCAGAATTAAATCAACAAACTTGTTGCTGCAGTGAATTTTTGTTGTTATTGTAGTAACCTCTGCAGTGATTTTGTGGGGAGTTGGCGCTGTTCTCTTTTACAGTTTAGTTTGATATTACTTTAAGTGTGTATGGATAATTCTTACGTTGGATAGTAATATGGTAATGGATATTAAGTATGGTGAGAAAGTCCACAGAAAGCTGCACCTTTCAAAACTTTCTATCATAAATGCGATGCATGCAATTTATAGCATGTGTTGCTTTTTTAAATATGTAAAAATCTAGAATTGTAAAACATAATAACTAGCAGGTTACCACTGACTTAATAAAATAATTTTATATCTTATAAAAAGAATTCACTATAGGTTTCTTCTAAATCATTATTCAGTGAAATATGGTTCAGTTTACCAAAAACAAAACAACAAAAAAACCCACAACCTTTCCAAAACAGTTATTACAGAAAACGAGTTCCATGTATCTTTTTGAGCATGCCTGCCTTTGTGTATAGGAGCTGTGGTGGCACAGTGGTTAAAGCATTCAGTTGCTAACCAGAAGGTCGGTGGTTCAAGCCCATCAGCTACTCCGCAGGAGAAAGATGAGGCAGTCTGCTTCTGCTTCCAGACTAGAGCCTTGGAAACCTTATGGGGCAGTTCTACTCTGTCCTATAAGGTTGCTGAGTCAGAATCCACTTGATGGCAGTGGATTTTGGACCTTTGTATAGAAGTAGTGAAAAATACAGGATTTCACAGTCTGTTTATTAGATACTGACAATGAAATAGGTACTTCCTACTAATTTTTTTTTCCTAAATTATTATATAAGGTAACAAATGTCTATAAGCAAAGCTAGTGTAGGCAGAACATGTAAGTCCAAACAAAGTCTAGTGTATTGTGTAACATTTATGTGGCAAGAGATCTCAGTTTTAATAAGAAAATACACATGATATGTTGTCATGGTTAATTTATATATATTTTTTGTTTCTAAAAGTGGTAACAATGCAAGTATGGTATCCTTCAAAATTTTAGTTTTTACAATGTGTTTCTTTTATAGTTGCCTAAAGCGTTAAAGGAGAATCAGTCCTTCAACTCAAGATGTCTGATTTACTGTGAATGGGCCCAACCTTTGATGAAACTGAAAACGTTTGGGGGCAGACACACTCAAAAAATAGGATTCAGTACCCAAAAGAGACGGAACTTAATGTATGTTGTGCCAAAGTTAAACTGCTCCAGCTGGCGGGATTTCGGCAGTGTAAATAGCACACTAACGGAGAAACACCTTGTACAATTCCAGGTTTTACTACAGCACATTTTTATTCTGATATGATGGAGACATGTGATTGTTATACGTCCTGAAGGGGTTTCATGACCACTAGCACTTGTGCTCTTATATTTTGTCCAGCTGATTATTGTATGTCTAGCAAGATGGGCTCTAGTGCCTGTATTCTCTGATAGGTAGTTAAGCTGATAGCTTCAATGACCAAACATTTTAGAGTTAAAATGGTTAGAAACAGGAAGGAAAACAGGATTAATTTCTGTTTTGCTTCTCAGGGCCCTGCACTAAGGTGAAGAGTGGTGCATGGACTCGTACCATGTCAGTGTAAGTGAACACAGCCTGCTTACACATTTGGGAACAGTACGATCTTGTGCTAACACAGGCCTCGAGGACGGGCTCTTACACTGAACACGGTCGTGGATGCTACTATTACTACTTGTAGTACTTCTGTTACTTTTGTCATTAGAAGGTTAATTTGCTTTTTTATTAAAACTAAAGATAATACAGAAGAAGGAAGAGAAACTGGCATAAATTTGCATAAGGAGAAATTCTGAAATAAATGTACCAAAAATGTGAAAAAGAATCAGAGTAAATATATACTTACTGCTTTGTTTTTTGCTTTTTTTTTTTTTTTTGTTTAGCAATCATGTGGATATCAGAAATGCTTGTACAGAAGTCAGATCAGAATTTTCAAGAATTATCTTTCAGTGAAATCTGTGTAACAATTTGAATGAACAGAGAAAAAAATTCTGAACTGACCATGAGTTAAAAGTTAGCTTTTAACCCTTGCCATACCAGGAGACAGCGTTCTTACTAACTTATTTGTAAAGACCGGTGCTGTTCATTCTTGCTGAGAAGGACCCTTCCTTTTGTGACTATAGGACCATTTTTCAGAATATGCTTTCTTCTAGAAGAAATGTTCGATTTAATTAGCTTTGGATTTTAAAATGTTTTTTTGAGTGACCAGATGTAGTGGGGTTGGCCAGTTTATTATTTTATCTAATTTAATGAATAATAAATATTAAGCTCTTGGTTTTAACCTAAATGTTTGTCAGCTAATGAAAATGTTATGAAAAAGCCTTGAATATGCATGCTGCTTTGATTTTTATGAACTTTTCTTTTTTAACTATAGCTTTATTAGAAATTCCAAAACACTTCACTCAGACAGCTGGCTTTGTGGGTGGCTTTTTTTCATACTACTGTTAACTTTTTTAAAAAAAGAAGCAGTGTAAAGACTGTACCAATTTAATGCACTAAACTTTTTTTTCTTTTACACGTTTAAAAACCTCCTAAAGCAATCTGTATTATAATGATTAAATTGCTCCCTTTTTTAAACCATTGCTAATGTAGTCTGAGTTTTGTTTGACAATAATTGTAATGTTTGCAAAATCTGAAATGTCAAGTATTGGAAATGAAGCCTTTGAAAATATTTATATTATTTCCCTTTCAGTTGGTTAAATCTCTATAGCAGTAAATAACTATTAGTGATTTTCCCCATATTTTTTATAGCTTGGCACTTAATTCTGTTCTGATGGCCTTTTTAAAATTCTGTTTACTAGCTTTTAAATATATTTATTTGACAGAGCAAAAGAGCCCTCCTTTCCTAGTTGATGGCGTCCTTAATATGCAATAAAAGTTAGCAGGGGTAGTTTTCCTGATTTATTTCCATTTTATGAACAGAGTCAGTTTTTTAAAATAGCTTAGTGTGCTTAAACTTGAATCCTTTCTCAGAGCTTTCTGCATATAACAGGTAATTCAGTAGAGAGTTTTCATGTACCCAAATAAGGACAAATACAAATTTGCAGAAATTATATGTGCTTAATGTTCCACTGGGTTCTTAGAATATTTCCACTTAAACTTATCAGGCTCCGAGAGCACATTGGAGGGTGCTTTTCCACATTTTCACTCTGTGTGTGTGCATGCGTGTGTGAACTTCCCATTGTGTAAATACTCACATTTCAAAAACATCTAGGTGCGTTGTGCTTAGGTGTGGCAAGTGTGTGCCAGAGGGAAGATCTTCCTGCCCATCTTCTCCCTGTGCGACCAGGACACTGGGGATCGCTGCTGGTCCCTTTGCTCATCAGTCACTTCTGTTTGGATTCCTGGTTGTGTCTGGCTGGTAAAACAGACCAGTCATTCTCAGAATGTGGTCTTCAGGCCAGCAGCAGCAGCTTCTGGCAGGTTTTTAGAACTACATTTCCAGGCCCCACCCCAGGCCTGCTGAAACAGAAACTCTGGAGTGGGGCCCAGTAACCTGGGCTTTACCAAGCCCTCCAGAGGATTCGGATGCAGGCTAAGGTTTGAGAACCGTTGCCAGAGTATAAATAGTCATCGAATCTAAATCTATGTGTGATGCAACTGAGGGAGAGAAAACACTAAAACTGCATAATGCTTGTGTGAATATCGAGTGCCAACTGGTGAAATAAGCTGTAAACTTAGTTTCTCTAAAGTTCTTTTGACTTTATAGGTCTCTGAAGGTGCTTACTAGTTTCTTTTTTTTTATTATCGTGATTTGGTGAAGATTTACAGAGCAAATTCACTTTCTATATAGCAGTTTACATATACTTTGTCTCATGACATTGACCACAGTTTACCACAATGCAACAGCTTCCCTCCCACTTCCTCCCCATAGTTACCTCTTCTCAGTGTCCATCCCT